AAGATGAAAAAGTGGGTTGGAGGATTTGGGGAAACTCGGAGAGCACTTTCCTGAACTTGTTGCTCTGCGGAGCAACAGGAACGAGCTCTTGTATTGATGTGTTTGCTACTCGATGGGTGCTGCAAGGGTAGGTGGCCAACGAGTCAGCATTGATGACCTGCTGGCCACGCACATCGACAAGGAGGTTGTGTCGGCGGAGGAAGTCTGCGCCGAGTAATGCCTGTTTCATATCTGCTACCACAAATCTTGCCGTGAAGACTCGATCCTTGGTCCTAATTGGTATGATACACATACCATAAGTAGCAATGTTAGAGCCGTTTGTGGCGAGGACTGGAGGTCCGCAGGTACCAGTGTGTTTGTCCAACCGTGTTGCGGGAATGACTGATACCTGTGCACCTGTGTCAACCAAGAAACGACGTCCTGTGATGTTGTCAGTCATAACCAGTTGTGGGGAGCATGGGCCAGCAGAAGCTTGAGAGACGGGTGTCACTACTGCTGACCCTGCCTGGCGTTTCCCTGGTTCTTGTTAGAAGTTAAAAAGGAACGAGGTTTGGGGGCAGGATGTGTGCATGGTTGGATGCATTTGCGTGCCTGTTCTCCATAACGATTGTGGTACCAGCACACTTGTGAGGTTTGACCACCGCTAGATCTAGCTCTAGATCCAGAGGGGGATGGCTGTGTTGAAGTGATGTTTACCTCTAGCACTGAGGTGGAGTTTGGAATGACGGACAGGTAAAGTCTGTCCGCTTCTTGTGCCAGTAGCCTGTAATCAACAGTGTGTGACGCTGCCAGAGGTGTTTTCACATGTTCAGGCAGTTGTTGTAAGAACAGGTGTCTGAATAGGAAACATGGGCTATGGGGCCCAAGAAGAGCTAGCATAGAGTCCATTAGCTCCGATGGTTTGCGGTCACCAAGTCCCTGAATGTTAAGAAGGAGGTGGGCTCTTTCAGATTCAGATTTGCCAAAAGCAGATAAAAGGAAGGTCTTAATAGTCTCATACCTGCGTTCCTGCGGTGGTGAAACAAGCACAGATAGAGCACGTGTTGCTGTTTGACTGTCAAGGCTAGCCACCACGTGGTAATATTTCGTGTCATCCACTGTAACACTGTGGATGGCAAATTGTGCCTCCGCTTGAGCAAACCAAGCTTCGGGGTTTGTAGTCCAGAATGTTGGCAGCTTTAATGAAACTGCAAACACTGCTTTGTTTTCCTCGCCCATGTTGAATGTTATCTTGGAAATCCGTTCCAAGTTTCGGGGTCACCAATGTAGGAGGAGCGTTTAAATAAAGCTAAGACTTAGGCCCTACCTCTTGAGTTGTTGTGAGTTGAACTGCTCGCCTCTCGGTCTTGATTTTTACTCCCTGTGTCACTCTCGCGGAGAGTGACGTCCCTTGTCCTTGTGAGGTCAATGTGATCGTACTCGTAGTGTTTCGCAAAACCCCACATTACTTTCATTTAGTTACAATGATTATTTCTTTATATGTTACTTGAGCAAAAATTCAAAAGAACAAGATTGTTAGTAGTTATTGAGTATCAGAATGTATTTTACTAAATAATAATAAGTAATCATTATCTTTATTGAAAAAAATATGATGTCACTGTTGCAAAAAATGTTGAACTCTGTTGGAACCTGCTGTACAGGATGAGCAAAACCTTTGTTACTGCTCATTTCACCACAAGTGACAGCAATGATTATAGTGCTCTGTTATGGTTTTTAAAAAATCGTTTTCAAAGTACAATTTCAGCTGAACAACTGACAATGATTTAAAAAAAAAAAGAGACTCAATCTATACTGTATTGACTCGAGGAATTAATTTCTTGCAAAGCAAAATAAATACCAGCAGTCAAGGGTTTTATGTGAAAATATTTTTTAAAACATTGTTCATGATCCAGAAATACCGACAGTCATTGTCAACTTAATAAATATTATTTTATTTCTCTTTAGTCTTCACTCAAGAAGGATTAGAGCAGGCCCCAACAGCAAATGTTCCAAGACAGGAACTGTTTAGAGTGCCCAAACCTGGAACAACTGACTGGAACAATGCATCAAATGACCATGTAGACCTTTACAATGAAACCATGAAGCATATTGGTCAGCGTGTTGATCACCGCAGAATCCTCATGAAGCCAGCATTCCAAGACTTTGACAAGTGAGTCTTGCTGAGTGATATTATTGAAAGAATTTGGTGTCAAGACACTCTAGACAAGCAATGTGATACACTTTCTTCAACAGGACTTTCAGTTGAAAAAACCCGTTTATTTACTGGAAATTATAAATAATTTAATGATAGAAACATTTTAATATGGTTTCTGGTCTCATGGGTGCTGATAAATGGTATACTTCAAAATTCTTGTTTTCTATGAACAGGCACAACAATGGACACATCACAAGAACTCAGTTCAGACAGTGCTTCAAGATCCTAGAGATTCCCATCGAGGAGCCTCAGATGCACGCCCTAGAGGCTCTGTACTGCAATGATGTCGGTGTCAACTACATGCAATTTTTGCAAGATCTTGAACCTGTGGAACCTATTCCCTTCATGTACATCAAGCGGATGGAGGAGATCAGGCAGGCCAACTCAAAGCAGGCACTCCCAGAGCAGAGACCTAATTCAGACCTGGAAAGTGTCTACCTCAAAATCAAGACAAAGGTAAGGCTTTTTTAGTTCATGTCATATGCTATGAGCAGACTCTATGAGATTATTTTTATTAAGGAAAGAAAGGAAAAAAACTGTTTCTTTTATTTCAGTGGAAATTTTGTTTTACAAATGAGTTGAAATTTGTTCAAAGTGCACAGTATCACAGATTTCAAAGCAAACTTTTATCAATTCAAATACATATATGAGTTACTGCAAACATGTTTTGCTCAGTCAGTGCTTGTTCACTTAAAGATTAAATCAATGATAATGTTTAATTCAATAAAGTCGCACCGCATGCCATATGTATGGCAGACTTAATCAAGGTTGGTGATGCTCCGCATTCATAAAGGCTGTGATCATTACTGCACTCAAAATAAAAACACAATTTTGTAGAGTAATCAACATGATGCAGGTATAGTTGACTATTTGATGGTATGAATTCACCTCTGAGAATTTGATTTGATATGTAATGATATGTTATGATAAAATTTGCCTTAGAAAGCAAAAGACCAAGTTTTTGTACAGACATTAGAATATTTAGAAAATGGGTTCTGTGATGTTTTCTGAATCTTTTATTTTCAAAAGGTATGCAAGGAAAGGATACGTATTTATGAATTCATGAAAGACTATGACAAACTACGATCTGGCCGCATGCTGAAGACATCATTCAGAAGAGCTCTGAATTTGGCCAGACTTGATCTCTTAGAGTCAGAGGTGGCCATGCTGGAAGACAAGTATGTTTTAATTGAAGTTGTTTTACTTTTCTTAAGTTTAAAGTATCCAATTGACTTTTAAAAACGAATGCGGATAAAGTGATGACTTTTTTGTTCACTTTTTAATGATCATTTTCCCTTTCCCTGTTTCACCTGTTGTCTATATATACCTCTCAAGAGAAAGCAATATTGAAGAACAATGCGCCTCCTTAAAATGTCTAGGAAAAGTAAGTAGGTTCAAAATGTCTTTAATTGCATAATGTTAGTTAAGAGGCAGCATCTCTGATTTACCTCCTGTCTCCAAGCCTTGTGATGTGGTGGGAAGCCATGAAAACTGCTCTTGAATGCTCAGTCCGGCCAAAAGGATACCGAAACAGCAAAATTCTTATCAAAATGGCAAGATTGTGAAAGTAGCGTTTGCTTTTTAACTACCAATGTTAAAATTCTGATATTGATGTTACTGCTGTGTAACTTTTCCAATTCCCTTGAAAAATAAAAACTGAATAGGCCCCTATGCTAGTCTATACCTGAATACCTTGCTTTGTCATGTGCCATACATTTTTAGTTAACGAACTGTCAAGTAAAGGCTTAACGACTGAAAAAGGTTATATGGAAAGTGTAACTACTGCTATACTGGCAAGTTATGCCTCTTGTTTATTGTGAAAAATGGATTAAGCTTTCTATTAATCTGATGTTCCAGGAAAGAACTTTAACTAAAATGCTTCAAACTAAAACCTCTCAATAGTGCATTTTATTTGGACTTTTAAAAATCTCAAATACCCGGTATAACAAAAAGTTAGTCAAAATAGTTTTCACTTTAGTCTGCCTATATAGTTTGTATTTTTGAAGTGAATATGTTTAGATTATAAAACAAAGTCCCATAACAGGCAAGTATTAAAAAATGCGATAGTACTTTCAGCAGGTTTCCGCGGTTTGATTAAAACTTTTTTACTTGTCACAGGTACCAGTCTGGAAGAGAAGTGGATTTTGTAGAGTACCTCCGCTTCTGCCAAGATATTGAGTCCATTTTCACCAAAGATCATTTAGAGAAGAATCCATTAGAGGATGTGGAACAATTCAAGCCAGATGAAGAATGGGCTGTAACTGTCTTGACAGGACAAGAAGAGGAGCAACTGATGAAGTGCATGCTGCGTATTGCAGAGAAGGTAACAGACTGGGTTGCACTGACCTAAATCGAATACATATAGAATAAAACCTGCTCTAATGGCCACCTCTACAAGACAATCACCTGTACAAATGACCACCCTTGTGTCTTTTCTGTAAATATTAAAATGACACTGTCTAAGATGTCCACCTGTCTAAGATAACCACTTTTCTCCTTGACAATGGATGGTAGGCCTCTATGTATCGACCGCTCAATGTAAGACTGTCATAATATGTCACTTTTCAAAACAGATTATGGCGAAGTATTACACTAAACAGTCAATATAAAATATTATTCACATTGTGGTGATAAGCTTCTTTTCCTCAGTATTTTAAAGTTTTGATATAATACTTTTATTTAAATTTCAAACTGCAAAGCAGAAATCGATGGGCACTAATACATTAGTTCCTTTCAGGTCCCAAGTTGCGACCGACTTGAAATGATGCCAAAATTTGTCTGTGTTATCATTTTGACAATCTAATATTATATTGAAACCATTAAACCTCAGGTAAACATTATGTCAAAATATCAATGGCTGGATTTTGAACCCAAGAGTGTTACCATGCTGACTATATATGCGAACTGGATGAGATAATGGTAATTTTGAGGCACTTATTGGTATATTGTATAATAACCAATGATGTAGTGACAGTTATTTAATTCAATAACAGAGAAAGGTGCAGTAAGTTTTCAAACATGATTTAGGATAAAGGTTTCAAATTTGACAATGGACATGTTTATCTGTTTTAGGTTTACAAGCACAGAATGCAGTTGTTTCCTCTGTTTGAGGACTATGACCGTGTGCACAATGGGGCCGTGTCTCAGTCCCAGTTCCGACGGGTTCTTATGGAACTGGAATTAGCCAAGCTGGCGGCCGACACAGATATTGAGCTGTTGTGGAAGAAGTACCAGGTTCAAGTCGGAGGTCGCACTGATATCAACTACATTGCATTCTGTGAAAAGATTTATGAGCTGGCCGGGTTTGAACACCGCAAGCCGTAAATTTACTTTGTAAATAAATTCTCTGTAAAACAATGTCTGGGTTTTTTAAAAAGATAAAGTGCATTTTGAAAAGCACCCAGAATGAAGAAATGTCTTTGCTTTGTGTGAATAGAAAATGAATAAAAAAGTTATTTATTCTTGAAACTGATATCTAATGATAGAGTGCAAATGTAAGCTGTCTAAACAAGACAGTTAGGTAGGCCTATAACTTTCAAGAATATTCTGACAGATGATCAGAATCAGTTGTGATGTACATAACTTGCATTATACTGCTGTTTTTTAAATTCAGATATAATGAACCTGTCACATTTAAATGCTGTCACAAATTTTTAAAAAATGTTAATGAAATTCTTTCTGTTGATGGCATGTCATGAAGTTTGACTTTCATGAATAATTTTTGTACTCATTTTACATATTTTTTACATTTGATTGCACATATGTGGAAAATTCTTTTACCAAAATGGTATTCATCTTACTTAAATCCAGGCCTTATAGAACTAGTATTGTAGACAGATATTTTCTTATAGCTCTGTCTTCTTGCACTCACTGAGTTTTGATTTTAAAGAGCTACAATGCTCTTTGCCGACTACAGTATTAAGGAGAAATTTTTTTATGGAAAGAATAGAAATGAAAAATATACCTGTACATTGTGCAGTTTTGTTTTCAAATGTGATAATGTTGCAGTTTTTATTAACTAGTGTTTTATTAGACAGGTACCTAGTTCTTCAAACCAGAAATGGGGGGGGGGGGGGGGTGTCAAGTTAATATTGCTTTATTGCAAGCATAAAATAGAACACAGAAAGCCAAGAATGTAATTTAACGCAGTTCTACATGGTGAATGTTTTTGAAAGTTTAATTTTAATATTCGTTACCTTTTGTTTTATTCTTTTAGTTTGCACCTCTGTCGAATCTCAGGATACAGCACCAGTTAGCTCAGCACTGTACAAAAGACGCACATGGAAACAATTTTTAATGAGTGCCAGAGACTTACCAGACATCAGTATTAATATTAAAAACTTTTTGGCATTTACTGCTGTTTGACTTAGCCAAATACTTAACAATCAACTCAAGAATACAGGTTACTATTAAGTGGACTGGATTTTGTCTAGCAATAGCATGTGTACTGCATTATACATCAGTTCTTCATATCAAAACAACTAAAATTATCCAAAATAATGTTTACAATGTTATTTTTGTATGTGATATAGCATGGATGTAAATGTTATACATTGTAATTGTCTTATGTGCCAACATATCATCTAAGGTAAAAATCACCTTGCCTTTCTGTGATAATTTTTCGTGAAGTTCTAACATTTTCTCCTGAGGTTCGAGATGTTGCACTAAATCAAATTAATCATGCAAACCTCTTAACCAATTTATTCTTCCACAAGAAATTTGACTCATGCACATTTGTCATACCAGATTTTTTTTCCCTTGTAAGAGAAATTAAAGCCTACATCCATCCCCACAACATCATGGAAATATTGAGGAAGAAAAAAAGAAATGTATTGTTTGAGAAAAAAGTCATCATACATTGTGATTTTAAAAAAATCCCTTGGAAAATTCATATTTTCTACATGACCAGCTTTTTAAAAAGCTGAATATATATGTGTCTTCAAAATAAACTGTTTGAAGTAATATACCACAAGATCATTTTGGTGTTTTCTTTTTACTCATTTTTTCTAAATCTGAACTTTCAGTAACTATTACCCACAATATACAGTGGATTAAACAATCAGAGACTGGTTAGGAAAGATTTTATGAAAAACAAAACAAAACAGCAACATAATCATAATATTTTGATATGCCATCCTCTGTGGTGCAAAATGGACTAGCTGTGGAAGAAGAATGATTGGTTCCTGCCGGGACCCAAGTTTTTGTATTAACTTGCTGTTCGCTGTCCTACCTGTGGCACAAGTGGTCCACTTTGGAAATAATATACTATTTTGTATAGGCCCTATAGTAGGCTGTTCAACTTCAAGAGAAACAAGACAGTGATAGATGGTTTTTAATCCTCATTTTTGCAACTCAGCGAACATTTCACAATAAGCTTCGTGAACACCTTTTTTGGGCCTGTAGAATAGGAGAGCGTAATAAGGTTGGCAAGTTAACACTTCAAATCTGTTACTGAAGATACAGAAGGATGTTGGCGGTGAAAACAAAGATGACCACTATTGTATAAATGGTTGGGTATTTCCTTGGG